ACTAGGCTAGACTAGTTAACGTCTGGATGCTTCACTTTGGGGAATAATTTTGAGGAATAATCTGGGTTTATCAACAATTAATTCCATAAATCACATAATTTCCTGATTTCAAAATTTCCTGATTTGGGTTTAATGACAGAGTCTTGGCACAAGAAGAAATGTTAGGAAGGTGTTTAGAATTGGAATGGTTTCATTCTTAGCAATTACAGAGCTTCTTCTAAGGGATAATACTACATTACTCACCTCTTCCATGTTATAGATTTTGTTCAAAGCATCTAAAACCAACATGTTATATTATAGTACTATTATTTTCATTATATTATTAGGATAGAAAAAGATTTCATGATCAATTTTATCTCTTCTATATACTAATCTCTCCTACTCTACTACAAACACAAATTAGAATAACTCAGCCCTACCACCTACCCCCTACTATGGTTAACATCTTTGCCAATACTGAATAATGGTGACCTATGAAAAGATACTTCCAGGTTGTTTTATTTTCTTTTAATTTTTTTATCTTTAAGAGCAATTTCATGGCAATGTCCTCTTGCTGTAAGGATTAAGGAGCAAGCAATATATGTAAGGAATTCCATATATATAACATATATACATATGTATGTATATATATACACACACACACAAACATAAATATATATACAGTAAGAGGACAAATTATCCCCTTTGGCCCTCTCTTCCTAGTCAAGCACTAGATAACAAATAGAATGGAAAGAAAACAAGAAAAATGTTCAGTTATTTTTATATGCTTATTGAGAAATGGACAAAATTAAATGATTGCTTAATAGAGCAAGATCATTATATCAAATGTATTTCTTATAGATTTTAGGATCCCTTAATGTCACTAAAATTATTGCAGAAATCTATGGCTTGTAGATGACTAGCTGTTTTCATTTCTATCATAGGGAATGGCAAATGTGAATTAAGAGACAGAGAACTTGGATTTTAAGTGCTTCTAGCATCCATCCTGTTGTCCTGAGATTATTGTGCACTTTGGAAATGATTTCCTCTTATGTATAGCCTGTTTGTGCTAATTTATGAGTTGGCTAACTGCCACCCTTGGGCCAAACCCATACTTCTGTCCAGTTTTGTAAATAAAGTTTTATTGGAACACAGTAATGCTCATCTGTTTGAGTATTGTCTGGCTGCTTTCCCGCTACAATGGCAAAGTTGAATAATTGTAAAAGATATCACATAGCCTGCAATATCTAAAGTATTCACTACCTAGGCTTTTATAGAAAAAGTTTGCCTACACTTGTGCTGAGTGATTATGCGTTGGTTCCCTTGTGCTTCCCTTGCTCTCTATTATCTGTTATTTTCTGGTTTAAACACTGTTTGTAGAAAATAATATTACCAAACAGGGCCAGGCTCAGAAAGGCTTTCTGTATTTCCATTGACTGTTACATGTGAAAGTGAACAATACATTTAGTTATCTTCTTCTATGTCCTCAGCTTCAAGAGGGTGGTAGTAATGAATTGATAGATCGATAGATTGATAGATAGATAGATATTATTTATCCATATGGATCTTCAATGTGATTTAAAAATATTTTCCAATCAACTATATGTTTCAATGAATTCATGCTCCTAGGCATTGTCAGATCCTTGTTTCTTCAGGAGCTCACGCAAGTACAGCGAGTTAGGTCTATTCCATCTTTATCTTTTTTTCACCAAACCAAGCTCATTTTTATTCTATAATATTCTACCTAATTGCTCCACTAGGTGTCCAGAGTGGATCTATCCTATGTGGCAATTTATCTTCCTTGTAGGAACCCAAATAAGATATTGTACGGGAACAAATAAGGAAGGAGAAGTAAAACAGGAAAAGATTAACTGTGGAGGGGAAATGTAAAAACATATTTGGAAGACCAAGCGTGTGGGAAAGAGAATGACTAAGGAGACAGAAGAAGCTACAATCTGGTGACTAAATAAGAGGTTAGAGTTTGCAATTGAGAGATGCAAAGTGAAAAGCCATTAGTGGAACAACTGGGGAAATCTTAATAAAGTCCCTATTTTAATTAATAGTATTATACTAATGTTAATTTCTTAGTTTTGCTAAGTATACTGTGTTATGTAAGATGTTAACATGAAGGGAAGCCGGGTGAACAATTTTTGCAACACTTCTATTAGCATAGAATCATTTCAAACTAAAATGTTTAAAAGGTATATATTCTTGATATTAAATAGCTCAGCAACTCGTAGAGAGAAACAGAAAAATTAACAGCAAACAGCAACAAAAAATAACATCATGCCAAAAATGTTCTGATAGTGGTTTTCCTCAAGGCACCATGGAAACACAAGATAGTTATTGATAACCCAAATGACAGTTTAGGAAATGGAAGTGGATAGATATCAGGCAAGTCTTCCTGGAGAAGGTATTTCCAAACTCTGGTGTAATGGATGAGTGGAAGATGTCCAGGCAAAGAAGAGGATAAAGAGTTCCAGGTTGTTGTACCACCATGTTTAATGACATGGAAACAGGAAAAAACATGACACATTTGGGGACATTTAATAAGAATAGAAATGATTTTTAGAAGTGGAGTGGAAAGAGATGAGACAGTAGAGACTGGCAGTAATTATAATCAACAGGTACTTGTATAGTATCTTAAATAATTCAGCTTTTAACTTGAAGAAAATAGAGTTGATCAAAGTTTAGCAGAGGTTGATATGATCAGTTTTATGTTTTACAATGTTATGCAGAAGGCTATGTGTAGCGTGGGTTGGAAGAGATCAATAGTGGAAACTGAAAGACTAAGACTATCTTACTTTATTCGAAGTGAGCTAGAGCACTGGAGATATGATTTGAAAAGAGTAGAAGGTTTCAAAAACTATTAATTAGGTGGAAATCAGCATAATTTAGTGTTGCTTGAATTTGGGTCTATTGAAACAGGGAAAACTAGAATAGACCCAGGCCATTGTTCAGAAAACTAGCTGCAGAGAAGTATTAGTCATCAAGACTTAGAAAGAAAGAGGCAAGCAGATTTGGTTGGAAGATATTCATTTCCATTTTTACCTATTATTTTTAGTTGCTTTTAGAACACAGGGTCTGTTGGCATCCACCAGAGTCACTCTATATGAACTATAAATTTGGAAGTCATTGTGTGGTTGACTATATTAGTTGACTTTCTCTAGTTAGGGAAACTTTGAAGTGAAGAGAAGAAAAAATAAAAATAATACTCTGGGAAAACTAACATTTGAGTGAAGTGAAGAAAGAACAAACTGCAAAGAAAATTAAGAAAAATTTACCTCTGATTTCTAGAAAAATAAAACAAAGACAGTGGTTTGACAGCAAGTAACAGAAGGAATTTCAAGAAAAAGGGAAGGATCAAAATTCTTAAAAGTTTGGCATATCAAATAATAAAATGCTTGAAAATGCCTTGGATTTAGTAATTAAAACTCATTGATATTTCATCTGTACCATATTTTTAGATTCCATATATAAACGATATGATATGTCTTTCTCTGAGTTACCTCACTCAGTATGACAGTCTCTGGGTCCATCCATGTTGCTTCAACTGGCATTATTTCATTCTTTTTTATGGCTGAGTAATATTCCATTGTATAAATGAACTGATTTACAAAACAGAAATAGAGTCACAGATACAGAAAACAAACTTACGGTTACCAGGGGAAAGGGGGTGAGGGATAAATTTGGAGATTGGGATTGACATATACACACTACTATATATAAAATAGATAACTATTAAGGACCTACTGTATAGCACAGGGAACTCTACTCAATACTCTGTAATGACCTATATGGTAAAAGAATCTAAAAAAAGAGTGTATATATATATATATATATATATATATATATATATAACTGATTCACTTGCTGTACCCCTAAAACTAACACAACATTGTAAATCAACTATACTCCAATAAAAATTTAAAAAAGAAATGTGAAAGGAGGAAAAAAAACCTCGATAAACTTGGGAGAGGAATTTTAAAAGCCAAAGTGGGGTCTATTGAATTGGATCAAGAAATATAGAAGAAATGACACTATTGACTTCTGTATGCAAATGATAAAATACTATTAAAGTGCCTTTTAAGATGGTGTGAATCATAAGCATGTGCATATGATGGATACAAAGTGCAAGTAGAGATAGTGGAGAAAGGAGAAAAAGAGATAACTGATGGTAGAAAAGTCCTCCGGATCTTAAAAGAAATTGAGTCCTGGGTCCAAGTGTAAATTTTACTGTTGATCAGGAGACAAAACTCCTTTAATATACGAAAAAAGGAGAGAAGAAATAAATCATAGTAGAACACCTTCCCGGGCTTTGAAGAAAAACATCAAGCTAAAATGACTTAACCTGTTAGGCAACTTTAAAGTACAAGATAAATATCTGTTTTCTACAATCTCAGTAAAGTGTTTAAATTAAAAGGAAAAAACTTTAGAGTTTGAAAAGATAAAAGAGGGCTTCCCTGGTGGTGCAGTGGTTGAGAGTCCGCCTGCCGATGCAGGGGACACAGGTTCGTGCCCCGGTCTGGGAAGATCCCACATGCCGCGGAGCGGCTGGGCCCGTGAGCCATGGCCGCTGAGCCTGCGCGTCCCGAGCCTGTGCTCCGCAACGGGAGAGGCCACAACAGTGAGAGGCCCGCGTACCGCAAAAAAAAAAAAAAAAAGAAAAAAGAAAAGAGATAACAAAAGTAAATGAAAATAAGCTTGGAAATAGAATGCTCCACTGCCTTGCAACACAGGAAACAAGAAAAGACAGAGGAACAATATGTCCACATTGTGAGAGAAAAGAACTGAGATCTAATAGTCCCATCCCTTCTCAGACATGTGAAGACTGAAATGTATCCTTATACTTTTCAGAAGAAATTTCTCAAATTAACTTCTCTGGGTAAATGGCCTCCCCTCAGTCATTTCATTCATGACTATTTAAATGGCACCTTTTAAAGAGGATTTTCCTGAATACCACAGCTAACCTTGCATCACACTGTCATCTTAATGGTGTGTGATTTTCTTTGTGTCATCACCTAATAATATACTATATGATTATTTGTCTATAGTTTTCACTGCTATTTCTTTATTGCCTACAACAGCATCTGAAATCTAAGTGCTCAATAAATATATAAACCAGCAGCTGAAAAATGAATTCCATGGCCTTTATTGTCTCTTACAAGAAAGAAGGAATATTATCTGGTTTAAAAACAAGAGAACATGATGAACTTGTGAACATGAGGAAAGTGGTCCAAGTCAAATTGTTTTGGACAGTTGAAAAGTTAATTAAATAAGGCATACCGAGAGGGATTGCTGAAGAGCATTAAATGGGTCATTTATTCATTTATTCACTTTCATTTCCTCAGTTCTTACTGTGCTAACATTATCGCTTCCCTCCTGCCCTCTCAAGGACTTGGCTCTTTGGGTCATTTGAGATTTGTGTCATTGCTCTCTATTTCTTACTCATCACTCTCCCTTTCTACTGGGTGTTTCCAGCAGTCATATAAACACGCAGGAAGCAATCCCATTCTAAAAAGTGTCTCACCCTAACTCCACATCTCACTTGAACTTCTACCCATGTTTTCTGCTGCCTTTCACAGCCAAATATCTCTAGTTTATCCTATCATGATCATTCACTATTTTTTAAATGTGGAAAATGTTTTAAACTATCAAAGAGTACAGTGACTCATATAATATTCAGCTGTGCGACACCATAATTGGAATTACCAAATGTTAATATTTTGTCATATTGCTTAAGATCTTTAATTCAAGGAAATAACACATAATTGATAAAACTGAAGTTTCTTTTTTATCACTTATTATCATTCCCCTCCTTATTAGAAGCAATTGTTATTATGAATTTGGTATTTATTTACCCTCTACCCAGTTTATGTTTAAATATATAATATTTGTTTTTAATTTATGTGAATTTAACATACTGTAGGTCTCTTTGTATAACCAGCTTTTTGTATTTAATATGTCTATGAGAAGTCCCTGTGTCGACATGTATAATTTAAGTTCATTCATTAATTACATTATATTGCTCCTTCATGTGCATATACTATTTTTACTTATCTATTTTCATACTGATAAATAACTATTTCCACTTTTCATTATATTTTATATCATCATTCTTATGCATTATTTTTTGCAACCTTATCTTACATCTATCATTAGATAATATTGTAACAGCTTAAAACATCTTCCATGAGTAATCTTACTTAAGTAACTTTGTTTCCATATTCCACCAACATTATCATGTTAAGGGATGTTTATGACAATTTGGAGGAGAAAAAGAAAGCATTGAAAGGGTGACTGGAGGAAGAGGATTCAGGATGCTCAAGGAGAACAGTTAAGAATGCAGGAGAAACTGTTGTCATTCATGCCAAGGGAGTGTTTTAGGCAGAAGGACATGGTCAGCAATGTGAAACAATTGGATCCAGAATTTTAAAGGTTATTGATGGCGCTACCAAGTATCATTTTAATAAAGTGATGGGATTGAAGCCATATTAAGAAAGATTATTGTAGGCTAATGAACAAATGGGAGAGAAATTGTCCTTCCAAAGAATGTGGCTGAAATACACACGCGCTCACACACACACACACACACACACACACACACACACACACACACACACAGCTGAAGGAGAAGGCTGACTTAAAAACTTGCTATCTTAAAGGAAGAGAAAGGAAGTTCAAATCACAGGAAGGAGCAGCGCATACAGGAAGATTTGTTTACACTGGATGAGATCTTCTTACAAGATTAAAGAAAGATGACCAGAAATTACTTTTTGTTTTAATGTTAATTTACTTTGCAGGAAAAACAAGTTGTGAAGTGGCAAAAATGCTCACTTCAGTCTTCATCACAACAATGTTAAGTGCGTAACACTGTGAATGACTATTTTCTGAGTATTACTCAAACATTTTAATCTCCTTATAAAGGAACCAAACATTCTCAACATTCAAGAATTCAGTTCATTATTTAAAAATTAAAATTAAAAAAAAACACAGTGAGTAAAATTGTGAATGACACCTCCATGGTTGTAAGCATTAAACCTTAAATTTAAAGATAAAGATAAATCAAATTAAATGTTAATAAATTTGAAAGAATTGATACATATATAAACCTGAATTAACAGAATGATTAAAGTAAAATGAAAGTCCAGATCATATGTGAGATATATAAAAAATTAAGAAATATTAAAACAAGAACATTGTTCGATATACAAAAATAATTTTATGACTAGACATATCTATATTAATAAATATAAATAGATTAAATGTTATTTTTATAGATTATAAATCAAACTTATTTCTGAAATAACAGTTGGATTGAAAAGGAAATAAAAATTAAAATATCAGAGAATATAGAAAACAATGATACTCAGACAAGTGTATATTAGAACCCATGAGAACTAGCTAAAAAAATGTTCCCTGTAAGGGTAAATATGAACTAAAATTAAGAGGCTTAATTTTCCCTTTTGAAAATAAGAGAAGAGACGCCCCATCCCTTCCCTTTTCCTAGATCATTTACTTTAGAGTACTCGTAATTGTAAGGTCTTCATTTCTTTGAAAAGTATGTAAATCTTTTTAAAGGCTAAATAAACCTCTTACCAGCTTTACAACCCAGGACTGCCTTTCTTAAGAACCTGGGAACCATCTCTTTGAAATGTAATCGTAGGGAAGATAGTGTCCCTATATCCCAGTGCCCTTAGGAGAATAAGAGCCTAAATTTCTCTGGTGCCTAGCTGCAAAACTACCTTCTATCATAAAGGTAGTTATTTTTTCCTTCAAATAAAACCTGTTAGTTAACATGGATGGTCACCTCCAAAAATCACCAGGTGATTTTAGGATAAACTGTGTGTGACAAATGGTGCTGTCAAGTCCTTTTACTTCAGGGATAGTTATCGTTCATCCTGAGAACATGTATATAATGGATTGTATCTGCTTGGCCATATAAAAAAATGAGATTTCTTTCTGTCTGCAGTATCTTTTAGCAAGTTATGTGGATGCCCACGACATTCTAGTTTAATTCTTATTCAATTATAAAATTATTTTCTTTCTCTTCTAACTTCGTGGAAAGGTTTTCTGAGTTGGGAAGAGACCTTATTTTTAATTATATTTCCCCAACTCCAGTGGAAGATCCATTGCTTAAGTACTCAATTACAAGATTTCAAAAAAAAATAGATTAAAAATTAAAGCTATTTGTTAATATTTTCACAATATTAGTAAATCAGAAGAAAACATAAGTATATAATCATCTTTTATTATTTTTAATAAAAATCGTCAACGGTTATTTGGAATTAATTTGTTTTATGTTGTTATTTCCTTGCCATGCTTTTTATAGTAATAAATATGTTCTTACCATATGACCCAACAATTGCATTACTGACCAAAAAAACCCTTCATTTATCCCAGAAAAATGAAAACTTATGTTCACACAAAGTCCTATACACAAATGTTTATAACAGCTATATTTGTAATTAACACCAAACTAGAAACAATCCAATGCCCTTCAAAGGATGAATCATTAAATAATGGTGCATCCATACCATGGAATACTACTCAGCAATAAAAAGGAAAAATTTATATATGCAACAACTTCGATGGATCTCAAAGAGAATTATGCTGAATGAAAAAAGCCAATCTCAGATGATTGTAGGATCCCATTTATGCAGCAGTTTTGAAATTAAAAAGTTCTAGAAAGGGAGAACAGATTAGAGGTTGTCAGTGGTTAGGGAGGTGTGGAAAGAAGGGAGGTGGCTGTGGTTATAAAAATAGCAAGAGGGATCCTGGTGATGGAATTGTTTGCATCTTAACTGTGTTGGTAGTCATGCGAACCTAAAAGTGATAAATTTGCATAGAGTTAAATATGCACATGCACACACACGTAAAACTTGCAAAATCTGAATAAGGTTGAAAATATGTATCAACATCAATTTCCAGGTTGTTGTACTTTAGTTAAGTGAGATGCTACCATTGGGAAAAACTAGTTTAGGGTATCTGAAATCTATTATTTCTTAAAATGCATGTGAACCTATAATTATCTCATTTTTTTTCTTTAAATTGTAAAACATTTAAAGCCAGAGCAACTCAGCAAAGGACAATTGCTTTGTTTTACTTAGCAGTAGCATTCTGTATTTCTATTGCAGAAAGGAATTTTTATGGAATATTAAATCATAAATAAGCCATGCCAGAAATTATCCCCTTGGTAACACAATACACTGTGAATTCTTTTCTTGAATTCAAAGTCACAAAGTTGATGCTGTAAGCCCAGCACTGCTGAGAGAAGAACATGCTTTTACTAAACACATGATGTTCCTCTAATCTAGTGAATGATCTATTGCTCACATAATCCTTGTGTAGAATTCAGTGATAAGCATGAGAGAAAAATACTAAATATTAACATTTCTGTAGAAATCATATATCGATACATATTTACAAAAATAACACACACACACACAGGGTTTAGATGTTGTAACATTCCACCAAGCAGTGGTAACTGTGCACTTAGTATTTTGGAAACACTTTGACACAGTGTCACACGTTTTAAAAAATAAATGAAAAATTTATAAAATGTAAATTCTAACTTTCTACAGAGATACATATTCTGAGCAAACTATAAGAAGTATTTTTCAAAGAATTGGGTATTTTCCAATGAGCTGGAAATATGAAACCAAGAATTTTTTTCCCCAAACTGCTAATTTATTTCACCCTCCCCCATTATCCACTTTGGTAGCCATAAGTTTGTTTTCTGTCTGTGAGTCTATTTCTGTTTTGTAAATAAGTTTATTTATATCATTTTTTTAGATTCTATATATAAGTGATATAATACTGTATTTGTCTTTGAATTACTTAATATGATAATCTCTAGGTCCATCTATGTTGCTGCAAATGGCATTATTTTATTCATTTTTATGGCTGAGTAAATATTCATTGTATATATATATATATATATATACCACATCTTCTTTATCCATTCAACTGTGAATGGACATTTAGGTTGCTTCTATGTCTTGGCTATTGTAAATAGTGCTGCTGTGAACATTGGGGTACCTGTATCTTTTCAAATTAGAGTTTTCTCTGGATATATGCCCAGGAGTAGGATTGCAAGATCATATAGTAACTATTTTTAGTTTTTTAAGGAACCTCCATACTGTTCTCCATAGTGACTGCACCAATTCACATTCCAACCAACAGTGTACTTTTTCTCCACACCCTTTCCAGCATTTATTATTTGAAGACTTTGCCTCTCACTGTTGTGGCCTCTCCCGTTGTGGAGCACAGGCTCCGGACGCGCAGGCTCAGCGACCATGGCTCACGGGCCCAGTCACTCCGTGGCATGTAGGATCTTCCCGGACCAGGGCACGAACCCGTGTCCCCTGCATCGGCAGGCAGACTCTCAACCACTGCACCACCAGGGAAGCCCTATTTGAAGACTTTTTAATGATGGCCATTCTGACTGGTGTGAGGTGATACCTCATTGTAGTTTTGATTTGCATTTCTCTAATAATTAGTGATGTTGAGCATCTTTTCATGTGCCTGTTGGTCATCTGTATGTCTTCTTTGGAAAAATGTCTATTTAGGTCTTCTGCCCATTTTTTGATTGGGTTGTTTTTTTTTATAGATATTGAGCTGTATGAGCTGTTTGTATACTTTGGAAATTAATCCCTTGTCAGTATCATTGTTTGCACAGTTTTTCTCCCAGTTGGTAGGTTGTCTTTTTGTTTTGTTTGTGTTTTCCCTTGCTGTGCAAAAGTGTTTCAGTTTAATTAGGTCCCATTAGTTTATTTTTGTTTTTATTTTCATTACTCTAAGAGACAGATCCAAAAAAATATTGTTGTAATTTATGTCAAAGAGTGTTATATATTTACCTCTAGGAGTTTTATAGCATCCCGTCTACATTTAGATCTTTAATCCATTTTGAGTTTATTTTTGTATGGTGTTAGAAAATGTTCTAACTTCATTCTTTTATATGTAGCTGTCCAGTTTTCCCAGCACCACTTATTGAAGAGACTTTGTCTTTTCTCCATTGCATATTCTTGCCTCCTTTATTGTAGATTAATTGACCATAAGTGTGTGGGTTTATTTCTGGGCCTTCTATCCTGTTCCTGTTTCTATCCTGTTGAACAATATGTCTGTTATTGAGCCAGTACCATACTTTTTTGATTACTGTAGCTTTGTAGTATAGTCTGAAGTCAGGAAGCATGATTCCTCCAGATTTGTTCTTCTTTCTCAAGATTGTTTTGGCTATTTGGGGTCTTTTGTGTTTCCATACAAATTTTAAAATTATTCTAGTTTTATGAAAAATGCCATTGGTAATTTGATAGGGATTGCATTGAATTTGTGGATTGCCTTGGGTAGTATGGTCATTTTAAAAACATTGATTCTTCCAATCCAAGAACATGGTATATCTTTCCATCTGCTTGTGTCATCTTCAATTACTTTCATCAGTGTCTTACAGTTTTTGGAGTACAGGTATTTTGCCAATAGTAACCAAGCATTATTTATACAATAAAAAACAGAAGTCTATTTATAAAATATAAATTTTAATTTTCAATGAAGCCATGCATTTTAAATAAATCATCTCTTGGGGAATTTAAAACACACAGTGATATAATGACAAAGCATGTTGTTATCTGCAGTAAAAACATTTAGTATCCTTTTGTATCATTCTTTATCAAGTTTGAGACAAGAAATATCTGAATGATACCTTGAGGAGTGTACATTACAATAAGGACTAGACATCATATAAAAACATGATATCTCCTAGAGATATCATGATTGATTGATAAGTCATATTTTAAAAGCCTTGATACATGCAGTGAAGGAATGAAAATAAAAACTACATGAAAAGCTTTAAAAATAAAAGGTGATGTCAAGTCAGAACCAGAGTAAAAAATTACGGAT